ATGCAGTTACGCATCCAGACTCTCAGTCATCCTTCCTGTTCTCTTGGATCAGCGTCTGTATCAAGCTATGAGTGCTTCTCTAAACAAGGAAGTTTAGTTAAAGTAAATGGCTGTCGAACATGCTTGTAAGGTTAACATCAAATTCATTAACTGGAAGCTTTTTCAGAAAAAAGAATGCTTATGAATTTATAAGGATAAAACTGTGGCCGCTTTAGTGGTACTTATTTATCTAATGACATTTATTTTGGGTCAAGATATAATAGCTTTTGTAATTTAAGCTGAAAGGACTATTTTTAATGCGACAACATAATAAAATTGAGTGTCAGTACGGAGTTTGAGATTTTTTTGCCATTTTATGTGCAATGATTGTTGGAGGCGACAAAAAAATTGCAGGAAAGAAGAACCCAACAAATTCTCCAATGAGATTTACTGGCCTAGCTGTTAAAAAGTTAGAGATTTTGCTGGCCACTTTGGCTACAATATTTTCTTCTTCGAGCGTATAGTCAGAAGTTTTCAGAAATTTGTTCAAATTTTCTTTAGGACAATTTCTGTTGGTAAATTTGTATTCATTATGGCATCGACTTTTCTACCAGCACTGATTTATTTTTTTTTCTTTTTTGACGGTAGTTTGCACTGTTTGATACTAGACACTGTTAATACTGAAATAACTGACTTAAACTAGCCAATGCTATTTATTGAAGGGGAAAACAGGAGTCTGCGATAGAGTACAGAAGGATTTGCTACGAAGTATTAAGTTTTATTATTGGTAGTATAACATCTTTAGTATGTTTTTTCTATTACCTGACAGATTAACATAATTTTAAGAAGAAGGTGAAAAATTATTTGTAGTAGCGAGTTTGGTATAAATCTCTAAGTGAACAATGTATTTTACTAGAAACTCTTAATCTCAGTGGCAAATATGGAAACGTGAAGCCAATTGTTGGTTACTTCTTTTATGAGTAGGTTAAGTGCAAATAATATTTGCATTTGAAGGTGCTTGTTTTTCTTATACGAATTTTCTTTTTATTTTTTTTATTTTGGATACATTAATTGCAATAAACAATGGTTTGTTTACTAAGATGATAAAGTATAAAATAACTGGAAAAAAATAACTGTAACGATTGAATACCAATTGCGCTTTTTTTTTCAAAGTAAAATTTATTTTCCTAACGTTTGTTGATTCCTTCTAAAATTTGTTCTAAAGACTTTGCTGCTTTTTCTTTTTAAAAAAGAACATTTTTGTTCTTTTTTTTTTTGATCTAAGAGGTTTAGACTGACACTAGTTATATCTTAGGACCAAAAATGTTTTGGCGGATCCAACAAACAAACACTGGCTCAGTATCCAAAAGAAAAACAGGACGTTGTAAGCGTATTTGCATATTTGCAATTAACTAAATAAAACATTGCTAAAGCAACCTGTTATTGCGATGATACAGTCTGCAGACAGGTATTTTGAAGTCGGACTTATGGGATTTTGGAATACTGATTACTACTAGTCAGTAAATCAAAAATTGTGCTAAACCAAAGACAGAAGTGCGAACTGGATGAGGAGGAAGCTTATTTGTTGCTTCTGCCGTTATCGCTGTGATTATTATCATTATTTTCATTTCTTTTAAGGATTGATGACTTTTTCGTTCGTTCTTCTGATTTTCTTTCTTTTCTTTTTTTTTTCATCTGTTTAGTTGTTTGATTAATAACACTATTATTTGACTTTGTAGGGTTATTTTTCAAAAAATCTTAAAAACACTACTGTCCTTCTGCTAGTTGTAAATTGGTGATGCTGTTTGATAAATTGCTATTTTCAAAATGATTGCCGACGTTAACGGGGTCTTAGAAAAAAGCCAAAGTCAGATTGAAGAGTTTTATCTTTTTTTTTCTTTTTTTTTTATAATTTTTGTTTCTAACACTTTTGTAGATTTTGTCTAAATTTATGACTATACTCTACGGAGTTTTCTGTTCACTGAATTATTTGAACTTTATTGGATTACAACATTCTTTTATTTGGTTGTTACTTCTGTTGTTGTTGTTATTATTGTTTGTTGGTGTTGATGTGTTAAATTTGTCAAAAATGCTCAGAACCGTAAGTGGTTAATGTATTTTACGAATGGATGATAAGTTACGATGGATTGAAAAATTGAAATAAATTGGTTTTTTGGTTCCTTTTTTGTTTTGTTGAAATAATGGTCGGTTAAATTGATCAAGAAAAACGAAAAGAAAGGTGTATGGATATTTCTTGAAATGTTAACGATTTTTTAGAAGGCAAAAAAGAAATGGGATTTTTTTGAAAGTTTTTCACTTGAAAAATTCGTAGATGTGGGCAGACGAGGGAGTGTGCTTTGGTTGTCTTAGAAAGTGATATTATTGCGGTGCTCCTTGATCAGCAGTGAATTTGCTTTGGAGCTTCGATTTTGATGATGATGATGATGATGAAGACCACAATGGCAATGATGATGATGATGATCAAGCAATTTATCAATATTTGCTCTCAATTCATAACCAATGAACAAAACTTCAAAATATTTGTGTCTTTTGGGCTAATCTCGTCTTTAATGTTTGTTCGTTGTGTGATTTGGCAAAATCAGCTGCCATCATACGTTTCTAAATATTCAGTTACTATTTGGCCGAAC